ATATGGCGCCAAACTGTTTCGTAATGTTAAATTTAATATGAATACATTTTGTGCATGTTTTCCTCCTGGCTGGCTGGTAGGAAATGAACACTTGTCCTCATGCAAACTAATAAAAACAGACATGGCTTATTCTCAATCGTTGCCTTGGATTTTTAAAAAGGAATCGACATTGCTCTAACCATTAAACAAGAAGAGGAATGAAAAAATGAACGGTGAGGTAAATAGTAATTTTTAAATTACCGTTCACTCAAAATAAAAACTGTTTACTAGAAGACAAGATATGAAAAAAATCAAAACATAAGATAACAATTACTTGTAAACCTTATATTTGTTAAATAGTTAACTGATTGCATTGTAGATAAAGATAATACTTAATGCTAAATACACCCACACTCTGACAAACGGTTTGACGGCTACCTCTCAGGAAATGTTACCTTCTCCCGACTTTCACAATTACCCCTCCCCTCCTGAACATGATATATCTGTTTAAAGAGCCGGATTTTTTACATAACGTCACTTTATACAACGCATTTCTTTTAGAATAAGTGATCCAAAAAGGTTGACTGGGATATAGAAATATAGTTACTCACACTCCTGTAAAACCCACGCTACATAAGATTATCCGTTTGGCTGTGCGGGATGTATAAATACACAGCCTCGTACGGTCGTTAAATCCGATGCCTCCTGTAGGGAGAGTAACACGTAAAATAACCCTTACTTTACTTATGCAATTTATATAAAAACTCTTTTGAGAGGTCTGTAGATGACCTTCAGTTCAACGCAAAATATCTGTCCTATGCAACATACCTTCCTTCATTTTCAAGTGGCAGTCTAGATCCCCAACCACCTTCCAGCTAGATCGACCTACTTGGCTTCAATGTTAGTTTGTTCTCCTTCTTGATATGCATGACATATTTTGACTGCACATTAAGCAATAAAACCGAAAATCAATCAATCTAGTAAAAGACAATCCCAAACACAAATTATAACTAATTCAGAATGGAAGCGATTTTCTCTGTTAGATGACTATTGATTTATCTCCATCAGTATTTTCGCCATTGCCAATTTTGAACAACTCCAAAAGTCAGACTTAAATATCATTTCATACTGATCTTGTACAACCTTTTTATCAGAGAAAAATTACATAATGCATTGTTACTTTTAACACTGCAGAAAAAGAAAACTAAAACTTCTTAAAAGTCAATAAAGCTATGATTCAAAAACCTGTTCGATACTCCATTTCCATTTAAAAAAAAACTCATTTTAATTAGTACTTTGTTAAGTACACATGCACATGTGCATGTACCTTTGTCTAATTTTTTTAAAAGAAAAGTCAAATTGTATAGAAGAATTAGTTTTTAATGATAATAGGTTTGTTTGCTATTTGATATATATATTGTTTTTTAAAACAATGATACTAAAAACAATAAAAACAAATGAAAGAGTGAACTCCAGCTTTAAATTTCCATTCATAAAATTTAACACGTGAAAAGTTTTTGAAATCATTAATATATAAAAGTTTTGTTCTGATGGATTGTTGGAGCAATAAGGCATTCATAATTTGGATTAATTCAGGTTTCACAGAACTAGTTTTAAATGCATTTTCTTTGCTCAATGACCAAGTTGTTCCCAATTGAAATATGATCATCATGTTATGCATTGCCTGTGAAAACGTGTAGATACATATATCAGTTCTGACTCATAAATCTTGAGGCAGACAGGGTATGAAAACATGGATATTGCAAAAAGATGAAGTCGCATCAGGTGCGTTGACAAGTTAAATAAGTATTGCCTGATATATAGGCATAATAGTATATGTCACAATATTCTAAAGAAGGTTTTAAAAGTAATAAGAAAACGCCACAAAAATAATTGTAATTCGACAATGGACATGACACGGCAAAGGATCTTCGATTTTAATATTTTAATGTTTCAGATTAAATACAATGTAGTAAGTTATACTCTTGTGAGTAACTAGATTTTTATGCCCCCGCCGCTAGACGAAGGGGGCATTAAGTGTTACCCTTGACCGTCCGTCCCGAAGTTCCGTCCATCCGTCCGTCCGTCTTTCTATCCGTCCCAAAAGTATTTTCACATATTATAAGCAAGCTTGAGAGGGGGCATTCGTGTTCTCAGACACATTCTTCTTTTATTTTCATGTTAATTCGAAAATAAAGTTTCCGAGATCGGATATATTAATTGGTTTAAACTCGGTCACCAATTGACGATTGACCATTGAGGCTGCTACCCAACGACACAAAATCTAAGGCATCTAGTTCTGAATTGTATTCCACAAACAGGTAACAGCTAAATGATACATAGTCGCAACGAGCATAGAAACGTTTGAAATGAATTTACAAGAAACAATCAATGATCTTCCATGCAAAGCGTATTCGCTCAAAGACAGAAGCTAAAGGAAACCACTAATGCGACCACCGACAGGATAGGCATGTGAGCATAGAGTTGGGTTTAACTGATCATTTAGATCATTAAACTTCCTCCTTTTAATTTCAATCAGTGGAGTAACAACAAGAACATATTAGAACGTACAACAAAAATGTTGTTAGGAATCGTACTTTTAAGTTGTAATACGTGTATTATAAACAAAAAAATAAAAGGTACAACCAACGCAATACTTTAAAATAACGTATCAAACCATGCTCGCAGCTATTGAAAGCATTTCAAAGTACTAAACCTTCTTATACAGAAATCATATCTCCCAAACTCTAATATTGACGGTTGTGCTTTTTAAGATTTTTTAGTATTTAGGAGAATTCATACAGTAACTTCATAAAAAGTATAGGAAGGTCTTGTGCATTCCTAAATTGATTTCGTACAGTTAAAAAGAAAAATAACAAAAATACCGAACTTTCAAGGAAAATTCAAAACGAAAATCCTTTATCAAATGGCAAAACCAAAAGCTCAAACACATCAAACGAATGGAAAACAACTGTCATATTCCTGACTTGTTACAGGCATTTCTTTATGTAGAAAATAATGGATTTAACCTGGTTTTATAGCTAACTAAACCTCTCACTTGTATGACTGTCGCATATAATTCCATTATATTGACAACAATGTGTCAGCAAAACAGACATAATAGGTAAAAGAACCACACTGCAAGAGTTACCAGTCAGTGACTCAGAAATGGAGTCAGGCCGTTACCGGCAGTAATAAATAAATTTAAAGGGAATAAAAATAAATAAATAAATAAATAAAAATAGATAAACAAATAAAAAGCAAACAAATAAATAAATGAATAAATATATATATATATCTAAGTATACAAATAAAAATAAAATGTATTTATCAGTTAAAATGTATGTAGTGTTAAATCAATTAAACTATTGAAATTATGCTAACTAAACAGTAACTCGCGCTAATCATTGGCTTTTTTTCCAAACTTGCGGCACCCAAATTATTTTCGTGTCTACACATTTGGATTTTAGTTATTTAAATTTTTCTTATCATTAAGCCGAAAGTCAAATCAAAGACTTAAAAAATGGTACTTCTCAAGACCTGGTTTGCGCTAACCCAGTTTTAATTAGCGTGGGGCGTTTGTCTTCCTGCGGACAGCATTCCAGTGTACTAGCACTATAAAGTCCTCAATATTAGTAGGCTACCACAAAGCAGTCAAAATTATGCATACACCCTTTGGTTTTTTATTCATTTTATTTTATTTTATTTACTTATCTTTTTTTGAACATACAAAACCTTTAACTAATTATTTTTGCAAAATTCACATACACATATTTTGGCCTATTTCGGTTTATACAAAATATTTGGCAACTAACTTCACATACACAATTTGGCATATCAAACTAATCCGCTCTGTACTTGGCTGCTGGGGTACAAGGACAACGTTGCTGCCACTCACTGCCGTTTGCTTAGCCTAGCTTTCCTCCTGTTCCTACTTTTGGTGGCTCATTTTTTTTATTTATTTACTTTTTCTTATTTACTTTCTTTGGTTTTCTAGAAATATTTTCATTTTTATGTTCTTATGTTTTATTTAAGTTCTATTTCATTTTTCATCGTTTATTTTTATTCACCAATTTATTTATTTATTACTTATTCTATCCTTCAAATTTTTGCTCATTATTACCTTTTATTCATATTAGGTTTTTTTTTATATTTGTCACTCAAAATCAATTACCTTATGGTAAAAATCAATTATTTAAATGCCCAAAAAGGCGCAAGCCAGGGCCGACCGTGCGAGGGGTTTATAGCCAGTCAAGGTCGTTAAAACCCCCATAAGTAAGTTAGGTTAAAGTGAAAATTGGGGTACAGCAGTCAAAATTGTGTTATAATCTTAATCACTATAAAAACAAATAACTATTTCAACAAAGAAAAACAAAAATGGCATATAGACAAAGTACATTAGCAAAAATGAAAGACAAGAATACCAAAATGACCATAGCACAATAATCCAATGGCGGGATATATAAATACCGAGCCACGCTAAAAGTATATTACCAAAAATGGACTTAAAAGAAAAGGTTAAAAATATACAAAGACAACTAAAGAACACGATAACACGTAATTAAGGTGATAAACAACGTCAGTACCTAAAATACAAAACAATATAATAATAAAAAAAATCCCTTTAGCCTTGTTTCAAATTATAGATAAACGAACTGATATTAATCCCACACATTACAGACACAATAATTGAACATCAACACTTGAAATAAGCTAATTAATTTAAAAAGAAAGACTTGAATGGCAATTCCTAACTTTATGAATAAAATATCAATAAAACTGTAGGTGTGAAATACCATTTATATATTAAAATCCTGAATGTGGAATCTTATTTAAATAATACATCTCCACATGTGTGATAAAATTTAGTAAAAGTTAAACCTTTTTAGTTAGAGTTATATTAAAGTGAAGCATACGACGGAACAAGTTGTAAAAGTACACAATTACATTACAATTTTGTATTGATCTGCATCATATAATTCAAATTCTAATAATTTCTAATTGCTTATGAATTATTTCAGCCACTCCACAACAGCCACGATAGCTTTACAGATGGTGACGGTCGTTTAACAGTAGCCAGCACATTATCAGGCTCCTTTTCTGTGAACTCCACATACAGCCATGCAACAGATAGATTTTCATCTTTGTCCAGACTAAGTAGAGCCAGTATCAAACTTAGAACGACGTCCAGCTTCCCCAGTATTCTAAGTTTGTATGAACCTATACAGGAAGGGGTAAGGATACTGTTTATTACATTTGTGTTTGTACTAAATTTTAATACAAATGATAACCGCATTTTATGTTTAAATAGCATTTAAATAACACATTTTTCAATGCGATTCTTTTTCGTAAACATTCGCATTGTTTCTTGCCAAAAGAAGCCACTGTCTACTATTATACATTTTTTTGTCATGTGTTTCATTATTATTTTACAGAAGGTTTATCAGGGTGACCGTCAAAAGCCACCATTTACTGATAGAGGACCTCATCGAAATAAAGAAAAACCAAAACCAAAACGTTTTGCAAAATCAAAAGAGTGGGGAGAGCATCTGGATACAAGATTCAAAACTGAGGTAATATATTAATCATAAGATTGAAATATCACCCAAATCCGTTTATATTGAAATCAGTAAAAAGAACAATTTAATCAGACGTTATAAAAAAATTTCTTGATTTTTTTTATGGATGCCAGTAATGCAAATGTACTTATTCATATATTTCATTAACTAACAAAAGTCATCTTATGTCGAACCGCCTGACAAAAATAGTCCGACACAGAACATAAATTTGCTGTGTAGGACGTAAACATCCACTCGTTCGCTCGCCAACTGAAAATTCACAATTCCAATGAATAGGATAACGGTCAATACATAAAGAATTATCATAAAAAAATTTACCACAGACCATGTACCAAAACCGAATCAATCAGAAAAAAATAGAAAAAGGAATAAACACCGCATAAAAACAAGGTTTGAACGTTTAATCCGAAATATGTATACTACTTTGCGCTGACAGAATACGAAGGAGACACGACCTTAAATGATTCCATGTTCGTGTAGGTTAGTATTCGATAACTTTATGGAATAAGATATGACCAATTGATATATATATATATATAAATACTTTGCATAATAATGTCTTAACTCATCTATTTAAACTGGTCAATATACGTGACCGAAACATCATCTAAACTATCGGTAGGCTTCATTCTGACAATATAAAGATGAAATGTGACACGAAAAATATACATTCTTCAAACCTAAATTCCCATCAATTAAGTGTTGTGTTTCGGTAGATCTGATAGAAATCAGATCAGCTTATGGTATTTGAACGTATTCTTAAGGTTACATGGATTCGGAAAAGAGAAATAAGGGAATAAATCTATCACTTTTACATGATACGGCATTTGAACGTATTCTTTAAGATTATATGGATTCGGAAAAAAGAAATAAACAAGAGGTTTCTGTGGAATAAAAATGTTATAAAATTGCTGTCATTTAAAAATTGTAGTTTCTAATAATACGAATTTATATTTTAATTTAGCCCGTTAGATTATCAAAACCTGTAAGTTTCTCGTTAGTCTTGATAAAAGGTGTTGGCTTTAAAATTTACAACTTATCATTTGGTTCGTGTGATGTTGATTTTTTCAGCGCTGCTTTATTTGCTTGCACTGTGTTTTAACTGGTATAAATATTGATTTTGTTATCAGTACATTAAAACCATACTTAATATTATTGTGATACACATATGCACATTCACGGTCAGTGACAATCTGGCGATGCCTATATTTTGGAATTGCACAAGGTCATGTTTTTCTATGACTGTTAATGACGTCTTTACACTCAATCCATTGAATGTTGGATGTGTACTGATAGATATTTTAGTCTAAGATACATGATTTTGTTAGTAGTTGTTTTTGGATTTGAACTAGCTGTCAGTAACTGCGAGTACTGTGAGATCTGTACTTTGTGTATTTTTTGTTTTGAGGGATGTATAAATTCCCTGCCACGTCCAGTTTGTGTTTTTGTCAGATGTATTTCTGCTTTGTATCGATCTGATGAGTTAGGCCCTTTTCAAATAATTTTTATAGTTGGTTCTTATGTTATACTGTTACACCACTGTCCCAGGTAAGGGGAGGGTTGGCGCCTTCAAACATATTTAACCCCGCAACTGTCCGTGACTGACCCAAGTCAGGAGCCTGTATTTCATTGTTTGTCGTTGGTTCATGTCTGTCATATTTGTTTTTCGTAAATTGTCTGTAGTGTTCTCAATTGAATTGTTTCATATTTTTCATGTCGAGGGCTTTTATATCCGACTATACGGTATGGGTTTTCTCTCATTGTTGAAGGCTGTACAGTCGACTATAATTGCTTACATCCACTTCATTTGAATTTTGGTGGCTAGTTGTCTAATGGGCAATCATACCACATATCTAAACATATTTTGGTTTTAACACTTAATTTGTTTTTGTAAAATGGGAACCGTTAACACAATTATTTTTGCTATTTTTGTTTTATTTATAACGTTGATATGTGTGCTTATATTCATTTCATTTGTTGTGTTATTACATTAAAGCCAAGACTTCTAAAGGTTTTCATAGGGTTAAAGTTCTGTTTGCGGTTTCGTTTTTTTTATACAATATTAGAGTATTCGTACCATCTACTCAAAAATTGTAGTTTGAGACGACTTACTGTTGATGCAAAATTATGCATGTACATTTTTATTTCTTATAATGTAACATAATTATAACGTTTTTTTCGGGTTTTTCAAACAGATATATTTTTAGAGTAAAATGGTAGTAACCAAAATAATATAAACGAACGTTGACAATTATGTCTATATCTCACAATTTCTGTCAATTGCACAAGTAATTAGCTCTATCCCTTTTTGATGATACGGGTTTTTTTCTAGAGCGCTTGTGTCATATAGGTATTTACTAATTGAATGTTGCCTGAATGATGCGAGAACATATTAACAATCAATAAAATAGGTATGCTCTGCAAGGTAGGTCGTCCGGGATGAAGGATGGGGAATTTTAACTGCCACTGGAAAATAGGAGTATGTTTGATAGGGTTAGGATATTATCTTGCTTTTCAACAGACTGCCTACGGATCTCTCAAAGATTTGTTGCAAGGGTTCTTTAATGTGCAACGAATGGGCGCCCATTCTACAAGGGGAATCGGATTTAATGAGCGTACGGGTATGGAATAAATAATGTAAGCCTTAAAGGCCTCATGCAAATCTACTTCATAACATCTACATGGATTAACACAAGTATTCTGATAAAGTTTTAGCTTTTCTGACATGTATGATATGTTTTTATTAATCGTGTGCCTCTCCTTTGAGACATTACGAATCTGCTAAGTGATATTTAGCTTTGCTTTTGATCATCTCGTGACGAGCACACTCCTACTTTATTTTGTGTTTCCATGTAAAAACTACAGAACCATATTTTTATGATTTTAAAATCTTCTGTTTACTGTTTTTTCAATAGTTTTTCACATTTATACTAAACACTTGCTATCCACAGAATATCGTATTTATTATTGGAGTTTATTCTTTAGTAGCGTTATTCGAATTATCTGTTTCAATGGATTTGCGCTATTCGAATTAATTGGTGTAGTACAATCATGATATACGAGTCGATAATCTTTGGTAAACCATGAACTATACTATACAAATTGGTTATTTTGTATAACTATTCATTTATGTAACGAGTTCATTTTGCTTGGGTCGTATTGTATGAATTGACCACCTTAATAAGACTGTGGTATACGGATTGATACATTTAATTGAATTTAACTACATAAATTGACTTCTTTTATATAGAATCGGACAATACGAATAGAAGCAGTAGCTAGAGAACAAATGGACAAATACGATAAGTACATAAAAGAATTAAATACAAAAGTAGAAAAACAGAGAGATCAACAAAGAAAGCGCGATGAAGAGTTTGAAGAAAGACTGCGACAGTTAGAGGAAGAGGTTTGAAATATGTTTGTTTTTAAAATAGCATGTAAATGTATCTTTGTCAACACAGGCTTGCTCCTTTTGATGATATAAAAAAGTGACAAACCATCAAGTGGATGAATTGAAAGCTATTATATATCATTTGAATGAGAAAATAACAATAGAAATATAACCATGAATAATTATATGTTATGAATCAAATAGACTTGCACCAAAATATGATGACAAGAAATTGTAAGAATGCCTTTTATACTTTAAAAATGTTTTTAAAAAGCTGTTGTCAAAATAATATACATCAAACAAGCTGAGTGACTTAAACTGTACACGGGTGGAATGGTGGGTTAAAATTCAGTTACGCTCTGACTTAATCTCCCGAGGCTCTAAAAAGTTGAATAAATTAAACATTAACTATAAAAAAAGACTTCTTTTCACCGATTTTTAGTGAATCCAATATTCCTGGAAAGGGTATATTATCGCATTTTCGATTAAAAATTCAAGTTTAGATATTTTAATTGTTTTACAATATATCACGATGCGAACATAAGCCGAAGAAAGATAGAAAACACAATGACAAAGAGCAAAAAGACGAAATTACAAACACAACTTTCTTTATAATTTTTTTTTAAATGAGATCATTTTTATTTACTTTTTAATTTTAGTATGTGGGGAGAGGAGGAATTGTACTATATATCATGATAGAGTACATACAATATCCTATGAAATTGAAAAATATCAAAATAAATAACCTTTTATAATAAGTTTCGAAATTGATATTTAAGTTTTCAGTATTTTTTTCTGTTTGTCTCTTTCAGGGAAAGAAGAAACATAAAATTGTGAAAAGACCCAAAGAACAATTTGTTCACGATCGCGAATACGTTAGAAACCTGCCTAAATCTAATCTATCCAAGGTAATGTAATACGTTCACATGTATTATAATGAAACAGTTCAACGAAAAAATCTGAATCCAAAACAAAAACGAAGGAAGGACAGGATAATGACTACTTGAAATCATTTTATGTTGTTTTGTTATTATTCATTTAAATAAGGTCAGTTGTAGTGAGTTTTTAATTTTGTTCCTTTGGTTGGTCTAGTCTAACTGATTTTGTCAGTTTTTATGGACTTCCCTCTTTTTGAATTTACCTCGGAGTTCGTGTTTTTGTTGATACTTTCTAAGCAGTTTAAGTGTTTCTGGTTCATTTGGCGTAAACAGAATATACATTTTTGTATCAAACATGAAAACTAACCACGATGATATATACAACGCAGCAAAATTCCTGGAATGTCATGCATGCTCGATTGATATAACATGAAGTTAATACTCCTGTCTGATATTGTCTATCGCTTTGTTAATTGTTTTTTTCTTCGCCATGCCTAATAAATATAAGTTGTATATGCTTTTTTTTATGTGTTCTCTGCTTTGAATTATACTGTTACGATTACTTGAAAATATAGGATCAATCTAATAAAAAATAAAACAAATTAGAATATAAAAAAATGAAAAAAGATAAGGTTGAACTAGGTAACCATCTTCTGTTTTGTCAAAAACTGCGATTCTATGTAAGGTTAGATATCATATTGGTCTTAAAAAGGAAAGATTCAGTGGTATGCTTTACTGATGTAGATCAGATGAGTGTCATCTCTCGATCAGTCTGTTATTTTGCACAATAAAGATTTATAACAAATATTTTGATTTAAAAATTCTTCAGTTGACTTACGATTGAATTACCAAAGCCAAAACCAAACTATGGTTCCAACAACTTCTGGCAAAATTCACATTGAACAGTTTTTGGTATTCTGGTATAACTACTAGTACTTTTGATCCAAGTTTGTCATAAATTTAATTTTTAAAATGTTTAGAATAGTGTATCGGAAGAAATGTATAAAAGTTGTGCCATGCCCATCGAAATACGTTTCATAGCCACATCTTCATTTAGTTGGGGACAAAGAAGACATGATATTATCTGCCTGCTAGTGCCAGTACGACTCCAGTCTTTTTTCAATGTGAATTGTTGATTCGTTTTAAACAAGAAAAAGCTTCAGTTGATGCATCACCTGGAAAATGTAGTACAGGATCAGAAAAGTCTTTAGTTTTCCATGTAGAGTTTTGAGGACTATTGTGAGTCTTATAGACGTTTTTCGGTTTTTGCCTAAGTATTGTCATCTTTTTTACTTGTGTTTTTAATTTTGCCTTTGGTAACTACTACCTCTTTATTTCTGGAACACAGATAAATGTTAAATGATTTTAACAAAATTTGTCAAATATGTATTACATTGCAGGAGTCATCTGTCGTGTAAGATCCGGTTAAGGTTAGAAGTGATTTGAACTTAAAATTTCAAATTTTTAATGATTTAAACATACGGCTGTCTGTGAATAAAACTACTACAACAACCTTTTGTTTTTAGTTCTATCGAATTGCTTTTGATGAATATTGTTTCAATGAGAAAAAAAATGTTTTTACCTTCAAATGGCAATCAACTTTTGACTAAATGTGCTTAAACAAACAAACAAAAATCCGACAGTGAACCATTTTTAACAACTAACGATCTATATATTCATGTATTTCGTATAATTAATGATGTACTAATTTCATATTCTCTAATATTACACAGATGGTTCGATTATCAGATGATCTTCAGAAGAAAGGTATATTGAAAACGCCCTTAGATGTGGACAAATTTTGGAAAGATTTTGGCAGAAAAAGTATTGATAATACAGACATCTTTAAACGTGACCCTTTAACAGAAGGTAAAATACTTTTTGTTGATTTAATTTACAAATAGACTGTTTAACAATATAAGTAAAAAGGTTTTTTTTCATGAGTGAAAGCAGGTCGATATATAAATCTCAACTAAAAATTCATTAATACTTAGTTATTCATAGTCATGTCATTACATTCAATGCTTTTATTCTCTATTACAGTACCAGATAGCCGACACTGGATCGGTAAAAAGACGACATTACAATCACTAGATGATAAAGCAAAGAAAAGAAAGCTGAAAAAAATATATGGCAGTCATGATTCCAATCCGTTACCCACTATTCCTTCACGGAAGTCAAGGATGAGGAAAGCAAAATCTTCGGAGGGTAGTCGAATGATTGACAATCGAGTGTCTACTTGTGCTTCATTTTAATATGTGCATTATTATAACATATTATCAATGGATTGCACTGAAATTTGTAACAAATATAATTACAATCATCATATTAGTTTCTGTTTAACATCATTAACAAGCGCACTTCACGTTTCATAGAAATTTATTTAGCGCAACGTCTAACGATGTGCAAATATCATACAAATTTCAGTGTATTTTACAAGTCTGAATATTTATTCGCAGTCAAATTAACCCTTTATAATGCACATTTGAAATGGAGTTCAGTAGATACGATAGGGCAAGAGTAAGTCAAAGAATTCTATAAACCTAACAAATGTAATGCTTACTAATTACATACTGTTAAAACTATCAATGAATTGTTTGACATCCTCTTACCTTCACTTGTAATCTCACATAATCACCATGACTAACAGTCATCCTTCTATGTCAGGTATCTCTTATAATTTCATTTGAAAACTCAATATCATTCCTCAGACTATGAGAAATGTTTGGTGGATCCAATATAATGCAATTTCTATTCTGTGGCCCTAATATTCATTCGAACACGAAACAGAATAAGATGTTAGTATGTTGTATAATGTACATCAAAGTCCCCATAGTTCTACAAACATTTCTATCTATTTATGTGATGTCAATATGGCTTTAGTGAATAAAAATGATTACAACAGAAGAGTGTGAATTAATCACCAAATCGGTAGCAAACGTTAGACTTTCTTCAACTAAATTAGTGCCGTTGCTCGTGGATTGTCACTACACGTACTATACCCTAGTAGAATTTAATTGATATATTCTCGCCATTCTTTTCAGTTTACAAGTATGTCAATGTACTTTGACTTTGGTTACAACTCCCTGAGATAAAAGTTGACCGTGAACTCTTTGGCTGTTTTTTTGTTTGTTTTGACGCTTTTTAAAGTTTTATGTACTGTAAATTCAGAAATTATTGCGTGCATTTATTATTGCAATTTGTGAAGATTGGAAAAAACTGCAAGATCGATTATTGTGATTTGAGGAAAACCTGCATACAGATTTATGTTTCATATATCAAAATGCGAGTTCTTATTATTACGATACTCACCCAGTCGCATTATTCGCATTTATAAAAACCTCGCAATGATTTCTGAAATTACAGTAATTGCTACCCATAACTTTTGACCCTGGCCACCTATCAAGGGTTATTCAAGAACACGTGTCATACCACTAAAATCAGTATCATACGTATATATTTATAATCAAGAATAAAAGAAAATGTTTAGTAAACGTCAATAGAACAGCAACCAACAACAGAAATACAGCGAAAGAGTTTAATAACTCATATATTAATGATTGAACTAATAACATATTCATATTGCCAAAATTATATTTAAAGACTTCTTTCTTTTTACAGAGAATCCTGGTACAAAAGGATCTGACAAAAGTAAAAGTGCATTTGACCCTAGTCCTGGACCATCCGAAAAACATTCGGAGCTCACAACGCCATCTGAAGCGTGACTTACGCCTTTCACATAATCAGCATTGTTTCATGTAAATGTTTTATGTATAAAAAATACTAGTACCTATGTTTATTACTGAATTGTGTAACATCACATGAATCACAACCTGCAATAATTTCCTGTTCACTTTGCTCCATATAGAGACTTATTGATCACATTGTCGACTACTAGTATATAAAAAATGCACTCATGCTCTCATGGTATTTGATGTTGTATCATAAGCCCCTCAAGACGTTAGCTCGGTGTACATGGTATATCTATGTTACACCATGGTATTACGATTTATGCAAAATGATAGCTTTCAAGAATTTCGATGGGGCTCTTGTAGGAATACTATTTTATTTAAGGATAAAGCATTGTAAATGCAGGATATCCATTGACATGTAATGACATCATGGAGTACGAATTATTATTCATAATTAAGTCAAGGTAAACGTTCAATAAAAAAATGTATTAATGTAAATGAACCACGTGCTCCCCCCTCCCCCACGAAATAGTTCTTAATTTAATTTTTTAGATCTACTAATTGAAGATTAACAAAGCATATATTTAAATATAACAAATTATTTATGTTATTTGTTTTCATAGGTTACAATTTTTTCATCACATTCATTTGAACTTTTAAGGCTGAATATTTTCCGAATTGAAATTATCACAAGGTGTTTTAATTAGATGAGGTTTCAGTTTATGTTTCGATATTTCGTTAGCCTCTTTTACCAAAAAGCCTTTCAATTCAATAATGTTTACATTCCGAGATTTCAGTAGGGTGTGAAATACGTCAATTCATATCAACAGATACAGGTTTGCGACTTAAAAAGGACTGGATTGACATTGTAGTCACCTTGCTTGTGACCTTTCTTTCATTTAATTTATTTGCCTTTCTGTTACAAGATATTCAGAATCAAGACTTTACAGAATGTTTAACATGGCCAGTAGTATTTCGATATTAAACAAAATCGTCCAGTGGCTTGAAGCTAGGTTAAATAAGGATGATATATAATCTGAAAAATGTTACGTTTGTTTTCAAAATTGAAATTAACAAGGCAGATACATTAAATAATATCTTTATCCCTAACCTTGAATCTCATCATTGTATAAAAGTATGTTATACTTTGTGTGTTTCAGTCTGCAGGTAATGTTATTGTATTTTGGTATACTAGTATATATATTCTAATGTTTTATATGAAACTCAGGGAACATACACTTTATTTGTGTATATTCATGGTTACATGTTTAATTGTGTTTGCTTATGTTAGGATAATGATGAAAAAACATAAACCAGAGAAAACGAAATATCAAACAAGGTTTAATATAACCAAAAAAACTGCAGAAAAAAACACTACAACTTGTTTATAAATTTTTTTTTAATTAAAATGGCTATTTCTCTGAATTGCAAATGTGATTTTTACAAATCTGCAAAATGCCTCCGATTAGTCTTCTTAAAAGTCAATAAGACAAAGTTATATAAAAATTTCTAAAATATTTGAATATGGGAATAATCCTCTATGTTTTTGTAAAATATTATACAATGTGTCATTTTTTTTTGTTTTAAACGCCTTTTCCATATGTATATCATCATACATGTAATTGCTTTTAATATCTAAACTGTAATGTAAAAACAATGTCTTATGTTTTCATTTTAGCATCGACATTTTATTCAAATCATTTTCCAAAATGTAGTGAGTCCACAGAAAATTGAAAATACTAGATCCAATTTAAATTCAACACAGATCTAAATGTGAAACAGGTGGAAATAAAACTGATTAAAACATATTAAAAATGAAACTGACATCCAGTGCATTTCTCTTGTGTATGTCATACAGTATTTTGTATTTTTTTCAATCACTTAATTTGCTTATATGTTATTCAAATTATTATATTAATATGGAATTACAACACATTGCATTTGAATAATAAATGTTTTAACGACGCTTATAAAACAGGTAGAAATTCACCAGAGATACTAGGCTTATATTTGCACACACCAGACGCGCGTTTTGTCCACAAAAGACAAAAATTACAGTTGCAACGCCAAATCAAATAGGAATTTGAAGAACATAGAAAACCAAACCGCTCCAAAAAGTTTTGTCATATTAGGCTAAGGCCATCTATGTCTAGATATAGAAAAACTTTAGTGTTTCGAATAATTCAACAATTCATAAACAGTGAATTTAAAAAGAAAAGAACTCTCGTGGACCGTCCATCAAACGACCAATTAGTAGCGCTCGTATCCAGACAGCTGCAAGGCTAAATCAAATACGAAATTTTAAGACGATTGAAAACAAAAACGATCCAAAACAAGTTGTGCCAAATACGGTTAATGCTTCATATGTCGGGGGTTAGATAAATCTGAGATGTTTGATTAATGTAAAATCTCAATTTACAAAAAAGGAACAAATCAATCATATTTCATGTGAATACAGAATTGCTGACTACTGGGTTGGTGATACCACCGTGGACAAAACGTTTATCAGCAGTGGCATCGACGCAATGGTTTAAAACCTCTTCAGATATATATAGAATAACGGCATTTTTATTTTTGATACTGACTTTATCAGCAAGAATATCAAGCGAGCCCGCTAGGGCGAGTTGATATTTGAGCTGATGAAGTCAATATAAAAAAAATGCCATTATTCTTTTTATCGGCAATTTGTCTTAACTGTATAGTTTTGTTTAAGTTGAAAATATGAAGTAAAATGAAATAGTAAGTAAAACTACTTTTACGCGCACAAAACGTTTGGATAGTTGTTCGGTTGTATGAATGAAGTCGCGTGCACTTCATTGAAAATTGACGCCGATGGACTTGAGCACGCGACGTTGCTACACTGATACATGACGTCATTGCCTAATATTTCCGAGTATCAAGTCCTGTCCATGATCTTGAAAATATTAGGCAGTTAGCTCAAAGGGAAAATGTACAAATTGCCGATAAACCAAGCTTGTAATTTGGTACGCAATTCCTTTACAAAAAATGATCAGTGGCGATCGAATCAAAACAGCTGAAAGACAAAATAAAATACGAAGTTAAAGAGCATTGAAAACCAAAGAGTTCCAACAAAAGTGTGCCAAATGCGACTAAGGACATCGATGCCTGTGGGTAAAAACAGCCTTAGTGTTTCGAATAATTCAATATTCAATAAGAAACAGTTATTTACCAAACAAATGAACGTATCAATAATATTACATATCAACATAGAAGCGCTGACTACTGAGCAGTAATTCTTTTGGCATCATATAAGTGGTTGTAAAAACTCATTAGAGATACCAGGCTTATAGTGTGGTACGGTAGACATGAGTTTCGCATACAAAATAGACTAACAAATGCACTGGAATCATAACAGTTAAAAGGCTAAATCTAATACGAAAGCAGGGGCATCGACCCAGTGATAGTAAAAACTCAGATATCAGGTTTATGAAAGTTATGAACAAAAATACCGAACTCCAATGTAAATTAAAAAGCAAAGGAAAAGTACATAAAACCTGACAAAATCAGACGCTCGACTACATCAATCAACGGAAATAATGGAAAACAACTATCATATTCTTGACTTGGTACAGGCAATTTCCGAAGAAAATGATGGGGTAAACCTTGTTTTATAGCTAGATAAATCTCCCATTTGCATGACAGTTGTTTATTGTTCCGTTATATTTACAAAATTAGGTGAGTAACACACAAAGACAAAACTTCACAATTTGGTACACTAGGCGCGCGTCTTTAAAAAAGAAGTGGCGCTCGATTCAAAACAGTTGCAAGACCAAATGAAATACAAAGTTGGAGCATATAGAATCGTAGAGGTGGTCAAACATTTTTTTCTGATTTTGTGCTGAGTTTAAATAATAATCATATCGAGACAATTTAAAGTTCTTACTGCTATGTTAAAATGTCGAGAGAACAATTTCGGATTAGAATAGTTGATTTTTTTTCCGAATTGAAATAGATAACATAAATTGTATTTTTGATAATTTAATCTCGTATTTTCTCAAAAGAATTATACTGGAAAATATTGTTAACATTATTTCAAATCATCTTTTATACCAGCTATAAACATTGTACAAATACTTTGTATCCAGTTTAAATTGATAAATGGTTAAAATCCGTTGAAATATATCTTGTTAATGGTAATGTCGGATTGTAAAATATTTGTCTGTTTCCATGAATTGAATTGTTTTCTTTCGATCTTGCCTTACGCTCCATTTACGCACACCCATACACATATCTGTGATATACCTTGATGGACTGTGCTTAGAACTGACCAGTTAGAATTCGTTTTGGAAAAATCGTTAAAAAAAACTTTGAAACCAAACTATGTGAAAAAATAAACTGAAAAAGCGTTCACAAAAATTTGTGTTCTTTCGAGTTCGAAAATCGGAAGATGAAATTAACTTTTGTATCAAATAAAAAAAAAAATGTAAAAAATGGAAGAAATATTAAATAAAATCATTTCAATAACTTCTAATTACTTGTTAAGCAACATAGTTTAAAAAAAAAAAAAAAAGATTTCCAGTTTCGAGTGCGTTATTATGGTATTTTCATGAAATAGTATACAAGGTTTGATCTATGACTACTAACAATTAACCAGAGTAAATAACTGAATCACACGTCTATTTTAGTCAAAATTTCCAAATATCGATGATGCGATCTTTATCTGTAAATATACTATTCATAAAATATTTAAATCATTCAAATCATTTAGGTTTTTCCACCTCAAGGCATAGATGGCATTAGCCAAATTTTTCACAACTTTTGGCAATTTTGCGTTTGGTTTTCAATGATCTTCATTTTCTTATTTGATTTGAATCTTCAGCTGTATCTATTCGAGCACCACTGATGAGTTGTTTGCTAAGTATTGAGTCATTGATAGGCCTATTCCATGCAGATTGGAAACATCAAAAATTCATTTGGTTTTAGTAAGTGGATCAGACGAGGAATGGTAATTTATAATGATACCACTAGCATAGAGAGTCTTTTGGTTTTGGGGAGAAAAATTGCCATAAACTATATTATTAACGAAGACTGTTGGGGGTATTGCAATGTTCTGTAATATTCAAATAGCTGATATTCTCAACGTGAACATCAAAAGACTCATCAGTGACGCTCGAATAAAAAAAAATTCAATTGCCATATAAAGTACGAAGTTAAAGAGCACTGAAACTCTAATTCCTTAAAGTCTTGCCAAATACAGCGAAGGAAATTTTTTTCCAGAGGTAGAAAAGCCTTAGTATTTCGAAAATTCAAAGTTGTGTAAACAGATAATTTATAATTATGACCATATCAATGATAATTCATGTCAATACAGAAGTGCTGACTCCTAGGCTGGTGATACCCTCGGGGACTTTATTCAAAAGGAATAAAAGTAAATATGAGAATTACTTTAATAAGACAGCAACCAATCGACACAATTAGCCAAAATACATCTAAAGGTCAACATACTGTCTTAAACAATAGGCAAATGCCTATATATTTTCATTTCCGGCAGACAGAAAGATATTTGTTCATAGGGATGGTGTGAAGGGGCGTCAGCTTGTCTGTAAGGTATGTATAGATATGCAGCCACTTCTAGTCTGAAGGGGACTTTTAAATGTGATACCAATAATCGGGTCACATCAACGTTCTCTGTACGTGTCTTTTTGAGGGGTCGGTAGGTGACATTGATGTTTCTTTTAAATGCCAGTGCATATTCCCCGCCTCCCACCCCAGTCAACCAAATTTTCAAAACCTTTTTTATTATTTATAGTTTGACAAATTCTTATTTGAATTCCAGTATTGGGACATAAAACGAGATGCATAGGTGCATATGTGGCTCCTACCTGGAATTCTTTATTTCACGTAGAGAAAGAATCGATGGACACATATACTAAATCGAATCCAATCATTTTATTGGTATGAAAATAGTAATAATCTAAGAACGTACGACTAGCACAAGAAAAGAAATACAAATATGGTAACAACCACTCTCTTCCCCGCCAAACACAAGAATTAGAGATGTTAACATTCTTGTCATTTGGTGTTTGGTGGATAATGTCTCATTTCCAATCATACCACATCTCCTTATTTTTACATTGTTAAGAGAAAACCCAGTACCTGCGGGAGATGAAATCTAAGTGTCGATGCAATAATCATACTGTTTTTACCAAGCACTATAGTAAATGTTTGAAATTGAAAGCCATCTCTCTGGAAAAACCTATCTCAGAAAATACTTTTAATATGGTGATTGTCTCTTTGTAATTAAAGTTATTGTCTATTTTTCAGTTAAACCTGTCTGAACTAGACTAAGTATTCTGTAATATGGAGAATGTAGATAAGAAAACAATAGATAAGATATGTTTTGCTTATGAAATGATATTACTTAAAACATGACATTGATGATATTTATAAGATTATGTCTATCAATCCATCGGTTAAAAATGTTAGTCCCAGGAATTCTCTCTCTGAAATTAAAATATAAAAACTATGAAATAACAAAATTAACCGAATGCAATCACAAAAGTATAAAGATGAAAATACACATATAGAGACCGGGAAAAAAATTTCTTTCGATAATTTGATATTACCCCGGTATAGTTATGTCATATTCATTTCAACATTTCTATCCCAAAAATATACTGGTATAGAGTTCAGTAGCATTAAACAACATTATGTTTCTTTTTATACAGATCAGCTTATAATCCCATTCAGACAGAACACAGTTTATCTTAAAAAACATCTACAAAGACAAGGCAATTATTTGTAAGTCTATATCAATATAAATAATACATGTTGAGAATACGTCAATGACAATGAGACAACTAACCAACGTGACGATTTCTATTCAATAATTTGCATTATTTTGGAAGCTAGATATGTCATATGAAATTGTCAGTAAGTTATGCGACAATGCAACCAAGAATGTATCGTTAATTTGAAAAGCACATTGCCATCATCCTAACGTTAAAAGAATGAATCTGACCAAAGTTCAATAAAAATCATAAGCATTCAGTTTACATTGAAGTTCTAACTTGCCTTTTTCCTATATCTAGCATGCCTTATCTGCTCCCTTTCTACTTTCTCTTCATATAACTTTTCAGCTAGTTCTCTCATTTTAGCGTGGTGATTCCATATTCTTGCATAGGATGATTGTTTGATGTTATCCGATTTTTTCTGACAAATAGAATAAAACAGAAAATAAACGTACATGTATAATTGATGGGTAAACTTTAAATATTGAACAATAAATTTGTTGGAGAGATGGTAATTTTCCGGTCTACACAATGACCTTGCAGATTTTGGTCAGCAAAATTATAAAAGTCTTATGTATTTACACATTTTTGTTTTTTTGGAAATCATCTTCCTATACTGAATATTGACAGAAGTATCTAAATTTTGCTTATGCATTGTGATTTTTACTGTTGTTGGATTATTTTTTATGTATGTATTTTCACATATAACCCAAGATTTATATACTCGATTTTTTCCAATTGAGTCGATTTGTTTAAATTATCCAAAAACGGCAGTCGAATATTTATCTCTTTCTACCATGCCATGACCTAGTAACTGTCAAGATGAAAAAATAATAAAGGTTCTTTTTTCTATGCTGAGGCTGATTCGTAAAACTTGTCTTTACAAATTTTCTTTTGATTTCATGTTCTGTCATGCTCATCAAGATTTTGATTGTTATATCATAATAAGGCAAACAAGTATAAAAATTGTCCTTTAAATATTTTCTTGACTTAGACTTTGTGATAAAGATAATAATCACACTGTTGTGAACTCATTGTTCGTACGTTCATTTATGTGCCATTTGTTATTCCACCGATAGATATAAAAAAAGAGGTAGGTTTAAGACTTTAAAAAATGTTTAATCATTCAAATTGATAACACCTCAAAAGTCGAGAGCTTCGTCAATGGTTTGTCTTTGTTTGTGTCTAAATTTATTTTGTTATCGATTAGAGGGTTGTATGTGTTGATGGCAGATTCATATTATGTTTATGCACAAATTGTAGAGTTTAATCAAAAGCCTAAACAGTTTCTTATTGATGCAGATCATAGGTTAACCTCTAAATTTCGTTTCTGGTTTATGGTGTTGGGTTGCTGTCAAATTGACGTATCACAATTAGCCCTATGAAAACTTATTTGACCATCATTTGCTTTGCAACACATTTGATTAAAAAACGCAGTATTAAACTCCTCCTTACACCTAAGATAAACAACAAATTATCCCCTCCCCCCAAAATAAACTAAAAAATCCTGAACGCACAAACAAAAAAAAAAACACACACACACACGCACTTTCGTGACCTAAACGCCATTTTTCGATATTTATTTTTTTTAATCGTGTATACTAGAGCTTGAAATAATTAAATATGCATGTAGTTCCTATTTATGAATTTACGTCATGTCTAGCTTTTTAAACAAAGTACATTCCGAGGGAGGTACATACATATTTTGTATGACTCATGAACAACTCAATTTTAAATTATCAGAAAAAATGTCGAATATGTGCTTTAAATGGTGTTTGTTATATGATATGTAATCATCCTCCCAAGTGTGTATGTAATTTAATATGTTGTCATAAGTTGTTTGATATATACTTATCTTACGCAGTTTGTGTTACTTTTAAATGTGCACACCAATTTTGTATTAATTTTCATCAAAGGAAAGATTTTAATTTACCTTTTCTTCCATTTTTTCAAGTATCTTTATCTGTTTTTGGTTTTTTTCATGAATTTCCTTTTGTTGAAGTTCATTTTTGATGGTGAGTTTTTTACAATAATCATCATATCTTTCCATGGTGTCCTTGACAACATCTTCTATCCTCAGCCATTGACTCTAATTATGGAGGAAACATAATATAGCGGTTATCGTAAAGCACGGAAAAGTTATATAGAAGGAATATTTGGCATGCAGTAAAAATGACAGTAATTCGGTCCATTTTGGACATTTAAGAGTTTGCTTAAAACTCCCCTCTTTCTAAATTTACATTGGAGTTCGGTATTTTTCTTATACCGTTTTAATAAAATGTGAGAGAAAAACAAATGCGAAGCGCCTTTCTGAATTTACCGTCAACCCAAGTTTTCAAAGCAAAACATAATGGCTATGTAAGAGTAATAGTTTAATTGTCTGAAGGACCTACGTTTAATTCAATACTAATCAAATCATGTTCAGTCTGGAATATTGACTAATGTGTTTTTATGCCAGAATTTTTAACACCAATTTCATCAATGCACACACATTTCTATCAGACAAATTATCAAAAACTTTCTATCCGTTGATCGCCCTGGTATCAGGATTCAGAAAAAGCTAAATGGATCTATCGTTCACCAATAAAAGCCATATTGAGACACATCTATTTGAGTGGGTCAGATTTAGATATAAATATATTAAATTAATAATTTTAAAAGATCAGTTTTGTAACATCTTGTGATCCGTTTATTTGGCAATCGCCAATGGTAGTCAGCAGGGGTTATGAACATCAGTTGTTCGACCTGTTGTCAAATGCGTTTTGTTAAAATATACTTTTCACTTTTTTGGTCTTTTGGAAAATGTTGTTTGTGCTGTATTTAGACCCCTCTACCAAGAAATTTGTTTTACATGCACACGTATAAAAATTGCGGTTTTTATCCAACGCAATCATAGGTTTGAACGTTGTTTTCAATTTAGACACGTTTATATTTTTTCGTTTGGGCTTGTATTATATTTTCCTTCGGGTTTATATGATCCGTTCATCCTATTTCGACTCTTTAAAATTCAAGAGTCTATCCTAAATTGAGGTAAATTAAATGGCCTTCCAAATACCGTTTCAATCCCTAACATCACTGAAGAGACATTAATTGTCGAAATCCGGATATATGTACAAATTTTTGCACCTCATGTTTGCGGTATACCATCTTCTCCGCAAGTTTATTGTTTTCTGTTTGGTATAAAATTAAATATAAGATCCATGTTACATCTTGTGATCCGTTTATTTGGCAATCGTCAATGGCAGTCAGCAGGGTTTAAGAACATCAGTTGTTCGACCTGTTAGTCAAATGCGTTTTGTTAAAATATACCTTTCACTTTTTTGGTCTTTTGGAAAATGTTGTTTGTGCTGTATTTAGACCCCTCTACCAAGAAATTTGTTTTACATGCACACGTATAAAAATTGCGGTTTTTATCCAACGCAATCATAGGTTTGAACGTTGTTTTCAATTTAGACACGTTTATATTTTTTCGTTTGGGCTTGTATTATATTTTCCTTCGGGTTTATATGATCCGTTCATCCTATTTCGACTCTTTAAAATTCAAGAGTCTATCCTAAATTGAGGTAAATTATATGGTCTTCCAAATACCGTTCCGATCCCTAACATCACTGAAGAGACATTAAATGTCGAAATCCGGATATGTTGTACAAATTTTTGCACCTCATGTTTGCGGTATACCATCTTCTCCGCAAGTTTATTGTTTTCTGTTTGGTATTAAATTAAGTATAAGATCCATGTTACATCTGGTGATCAATTTTTTTGGCAATCGTCAATGGCAGTCAGCAGGGTTTAAGAACATCAGTTGTTCGACCTGTTAGTCAAATGCGTTTTGTTAAAATATACTTTTCACTTTTTTGGTCTTTTGGAAAAAGTTGTTTGTTCTGTATTTAGACCCCTCTACCAAGAAATTTGTTTTACATGCACACGTATAAAAATTGCGGTTTTTATCCAACGCAATCATAGGTTTGAACGTTGTTTTCAATTTAGACACGTTTATATTTTTTCGTTTGGGTTGTATTATATTTTCTTTCGGGTTTATATGATCCGTTCATCCTATTTCGACTCTTTAAAATTCAAGAGTCTATCCTAAATTGAGGTAAATTATATGGTCTTCCAAATACCGTTCCGATCCCTAACATCACTGAAGAGACATTAAATGTCGAAATCCGGATATGTTGTACAAATTTTTGCACCTCATGTTTGCGGTATACCATCTTCTCCGCAAGTTTATTGTTTTCTGTTTGGTATTAAATTAAATATAAGATCCATGTTACATCTGGTGATCAATTTATTTGGCAATCGTCAATGGCAGTCAGCAGGGTTTAAGAACATCAGTTGTTCGACCTGTTAGTCAAATGCGTTTTGTTAAAATATACTTTTCACTTTTTTGGTCTTTTGGAAAAAGTTGTTTGTGCTGTATTTAGACCCCTCTACCAAGAAATTTGTTTTACATGCACACGCATAAAAAATGCGGTTTTTATCCAACGCAATCATAGGTTTGAACGTTGTTTTCAATTTAGACACGTTTATATTTTTTCGTTTGGGGTTGTATTATATTTTCTTTCGGGTTTATATGATCCGTTCATCCTATTTCGACTCTTTAAAATTCAAGAGTCTATCCTAAATTGAGGTAAATTATATGGCCTTCCAAATACCGTTTCGATCCCTAACATCACTGAAGACAATCAACCAAATCATGATGGCGTCTGTAAAATCTTGGAACGGATGAATTCAACTTTACCATTTTGAACCTTTGATGTCATAGCTTTCTTGAAAGCAGTAACCCTTTATCAAGGATATCATGATTAGAAACGCAAAACCTGGTATATCATATCAACTGGGAGATACATACTCCATATGCAGGCTCTGTAGCTCTCATTACTATAGCCAATCAAAACACGGAAAGGTAACAAAATGGTAACTGAAGAAACAATTTGATCAGTTTGTTCTGTATTTCCCCAAAATGATAAGTAATGAAAAGCTCGTCTAACAAACAAACAACCTTAATTTAACTTTTATATAATCACACACTTAAATAGGCTAGCTGTTATATACATGTATGAGCTCTAGTCGCACGTACTCCTCGGTATAATCTAGATTCTCATGAAGTCTGCTGAGGGCATTTTTTCGAATTTGACATTCATATATTCTTCATTGCAAGAAGGCGTCAAAGCTCAAACTGAAATAAACTTTCAATGAGTTATAATTATTTGAAATCCCCAGTATTAGAACAATTAAATAAAGAAGGAGTAAATTGCGGTTTATGTTCTTTCAAACTCGGTTGAGACATGTATAAGTTAGATTTATTATTTAAACTTCGATTACTTAATTTTTTTTCTATTATTAGAATAATTTTTAAATCAAATCTTTAAGATACCTCATTCCTTCGACGTATTTCCTCGCCAAATGTCAGTCTCTTCTCTTCTTTTTTGTCCTTAGTTTCTTCATGACAGTCTGGTGTGGATATGTCCTAAAAATATGAATAAACCTTAATCTAAAAGTAAGTTGCATTGTGTTCTATTTTATAAATCAAATAACCATGCTTTTCTGTTGATTAGCATTAAAAAAATTGAGTAAATTTCACATACCCTTTTCAGTTTTGGTTTTGTGTGGCTTCTTAAAGTCTCTATTAGGTCTGGAAAGGAAGATTTAAGATACTTTTTCCCAGGATTTTCACTAGCAGCTGAAGAAGGTGTCCTAGCTGAGTAGAATCCGTATGAGCGAGTAAAACAATGATGAGAACTTCCGTATGGTAAAGTTATTGATTTGGTAGGCGACGTCCTTGTTGTGGGTCTTGATTCGAAGTCGGATTCATAATCCTACAAGTAAAGTTATAAATTATTATTATTATATTGACAATTAAAGATTAGTAAACAAAAAGTCATCTTATGTGAAATGAGAACGATAATTATAACAGATATAATATATACTAAAGTAAAAGTCACCTTATTTTTGTCATATCAGTTTTACATAAAATTCGTTCCAAAAAAAAATCCAAAATCAATGTGCTCCTGCATTGTGAAACGCCTTTATATTTAAAAACTCAACAAGGATCAGCAACAGTGTAATCATTCACAAGTTACGTCTTATCAATATCTATCGATGCTGGTAATTTATATTTCCTACAAGTTCTATATTTTACTTACATCGTCCATTGTTGGCTTTAAGGGAAATTGTCAATGAACCATTCATATGGAACATTGACTAGATAGCACAGAACTGTGTTGGGAAATTTTTGTAAAATAAATACAGGAAATATAAAGATATATTATGCTTAATTTAATTATTGATATTTTTATTATTATTTGCATCATATTTATAATAATATAAAAATTAGTTCGAACAGCCATTGAGCATATCAGTTTTCGTTTTGTTGATTTGATTCTTAAAAGATTCACTGATATATATCATTGATCTGCAAATGTATTGTTTAAGGAATTTAACACCAAACTCGCTCTTAACGACATATTTATAAATTTTAAACTACGTTTAGGTAAATAAATCGGTCGTTAGACTATGACTAAAATTGGGTTATCTATCTAAAGATATAATTGGGTTGATCGTTGGTGTAAAACGCTATATTGATGTATTATATCCATCTATATGTAATTTCAGTGAAAGCAGTTGAATTGACGAATTCAATACATGGCTTTACTTTCAACAAATATTTTTTTAAATAACGATATCCTTTTGTTAATTTCCAAAATTTGTAAAATTGTGGTTTAATGCTATTTTCAGTGGTATATAATTTTGTGATCTGTTTCGAAATCAGCCATACCCTTGATAGAACCTTTAAGTACACACATATCTTTGATACTATGAATCGCTATGAAGATTAAAAGACTATTTTTTAATTCAGGAAAATTGGCCTAACTCTACAGTATATGGATGTCCATCGAGACCATGAACTTCAATAGAAATAAATAGAGATATCGGTCATTTGTCAATAAGACAATAACCCAACGACTAAATAAGGTGTCTATATATAGTAATATGGCAGACGGCAACAACAGGCAAATGTTTTTGTCAGTATTGAAGCTTGGAATCGTTCCGAGCAATGAATACCGCTGAACTTAAATCTCTATTCCAAACCTTTTCGAAAGCCTTTGAAAAGTCACAAAAAGCAAACAGCTTAATTTCTTCAATATCCAGTTGTAAAATATTTTGTTTTACTTTCTATCCTTTATGTTATCATGTTCTGATGCTTTGTTAGAATCAATAATTTGGATGATGTAATAGAACTTATTCACAAATAATATCATTAGTTTTAGGCAAAAGTCAGTAGGGATGTACATTTTCGTCCTTGGGTTTGTTTATCAAAACCAAATTTTAGTTTTACAAGTCACATTTGTCCTGCTTATCGTCAGCAGAGAAGTTTGTTCGTTTATAATATATGTTGATATGTGTGTGTGTGTGTGTGTGATGAGGGAGGTAGTTTTCCCCCTTTATTTGATCTTTATCAATATTTTTAATTTCTAAGAGGACTTTTTCGAATATATTGTTTCGTTAATATTCGTCTAAGTTGTCTTCAAACTTTGCCTTTATAAAATAAAGGGATGTGGCATGACTGCTAATGAGACAATTATCCGCTAGAGTCCAAACGACGAGTATTCCAGCAACTATAGGTCAATGTACAGTCTTCAACATTCAGAAAACTTATTGTCTGATATAAAAGGTATTATAAAATGTGAAACGCTGCAAACGCAAAAAAAAAAACCAACAAAAAAAACCAACAAAACAACAAAAAAACCCAACAGCGTAAGTTAGTTTGTTTCAAAACAATAAAAGAAAAACAAATATGACATACAGCAACCAACGACAACCACTGGATTACCTGACTTGGGACATACACATATAGAATATGTGTGTGTGTGGGGTTTGGAGTTTAAGTATATTTGTGAGCGCTCATTCATCTTCTAGCCTAGGCCAGGGGCCTTTTATAGCTTACTATGTGGTATGGGTTTTGCTCATTGTTGAAGATTGTACGGTAACCTATAGTTGTTAACTTCTACGTCATTTGGTCTCTGGGGGATAGTTGCATTCATACCACATCTTTTTTATTTTCGTATTTCAGAACAACATAAGAACAAACAGTAAAACTCAGTAGAAAATATTAAGACACATTAGACTGGCACGAAGCACAAAACTAAATGCTATAATGAAAAAAAACACACAGTACCGATCTAAGAAAAACTCGCATTTACCTAAAGCTAGATCAAGGATATAATAGCTACACATGTAATAAATAAATCCTGTTCTCCCAGACGAAAGTATCAATCTGTACATACTCAACGAATTTAGTGTACAGATGTCGATTGCATACTTATATTTTTATGTGGCTTTCTTTGTTGTATTGCAAAAAGATCAGGAACGAATTATTTCTTAGATCTTATCAAAGTTTGTGATTTTCTGAAACTGAAATTATTTTTAAAATATGCGATCTTTAAATAATTTAGTAATTAAAATAATTTGTGAATTCTTGACACATTGTTTTAATTTGATTTAGATAACCTAGTTTATTTCATTTAACGAAAAATTGAACTTGACGATATCAATATTGACAAGTTCCAGGTTAGGTAAATTAAAGAGAAAGAAGTTTAAGAAGAGACAGGGATCAAGGTAATTAACAAAAACTGAGGGAATCGCATGACCTCCGAAAGAAGCAAAACCGGGTGCGTCAACTGCCATGCATCACCCGCCATGCGAATCCACACTCAGTCAATGTGTCACATTCAGAAAAAAGGACACAATCGGTCAAATTACAGATCAGTAGACTTAACTGGTATCTAAAAAAAAGAAAACAACACGTTATAAATTTCATGCGTCCGAAGCGCTTTTCTGGAATGACCTTCACCAGGAACTCTCAAAGACGAATATTTAAAAGCCAAGGATGTATAAGAACCGAAACAGTTGAAGAGATATATGACCAAAAAAGAACATAAAAAATTAGCCAAATCCATCTAAGGTCAACTTTGCCTTAAACTGCAAAGAAATGGCACCAGGGAATTAAGTCACCTGTATAATGGTATTTGTTTAATATTGTATATTTTTTCTATTGAAAATGTTTAATATTTTGTATGTTTGATACCAAAATGTAAAAACTAAATCTAAAACGCCCTTCTTTCAATACAAAATCATTATATATGAAAGGTATCTGATGTTGTAATTTTAGCTGTGTCATGTGTGTGTAGTTCTTGTTAAACTAAAAATATAGAAACATAAAAACAGTCATTTATTTATGTTGTTAAAGTATATGAAAAAGGAAGACTTCCTCTATGCATACAAGGTGAATATGTAACCTTCATTATTTATTTATCTATAAACCTTTGTGTTTAAATGACGACTAGTAACTCAAAACCATAATAGATATATAATGATTCGTGAAAGCCCCGAATGGCACATATCAGGTTTTTTTTCAATAAGAATTAGAGTATTTCTAAAACAAAGTATATATATTACTTTAGGTAAGAATCAATATTTATGCTGCTCTTGAATATATTGTAAATGAAAAGGTTTAAGTGAATTTTATTTCATGACTACTTTTTGCTAAATACTTCAACATCCAGTATCCTTACTATCATATTGGATCTGCCTCCACTTCTTAATTTCCTCTTTTATTCAAAACCACTTCTCAAGATATATTACCAGTAAGTGATCTATGCTTAAGCTCAATTTATATAATGTTATAATAATTTTATTTATAGAAAACTTCATAAGTTGGTAAAACCGATCTTTTTTGTATCGTTGATTAAATAAAATAATAAAAACAAATTAAACTGGTTTATACATTAATTGGAATTGGGCTTTGAACTGGATACCAGTAACTACACATACTCTTGGATCGGGTCTTTTGTCAATTGTTTTTTTGGTAATTGTTTTGTGCTTAGTACCGATCTGACGAGTCAATCCCTTCCAAAATAATTTATACAGTTTATTATTTGGATGTGTTGTTATATCACTGTCCCAGGTAAAGGGAGGGTTGAGCGCTCACAAACATCTTGAACCATGCAAAGGAGATTTTTCTGTAATTTAAGCTGCCCATCATATGTTCAAACGTATTCATATATAATGGAATCATTTGAAAGATATATTACACCTTTGATATTATTTTTTCTGACCTCGTTTAAATAGAAATAGCTATGAGAGTGTCTTATCATTAAGGATTTGACGATAAAAATATCAAAACAGATTCCTATAGCTATTGACAATGTACACAAATAGCGCCGTTTTATTTGTGTACATTGTCAATAGCTATAGGAATCTGTTGTAATATTTTTATCGTCAAATCCTTAGATTATACAGGCACATAGCTATTTCTATTTAAACAAGGTCACGAAAAATAATATCTGTAATTTAAGATGACCATCATATGGTTAAACGTATTCATATATAATGGAATCAATTGAAAGATATATTTCACCTTCGTGAAAATTGATATACAATTTAAAGTGAGATATTAAAAAGTGGTCTACTATGAACCAGAAATTGTAGTAATAAAGCTAATAAATCACTTTGCAAAAATTTTCCGCCCACGTTTCAATACATAATACTGGGTTACATGTAGTAATTACATATTTGCAAATGAGAACAATATCAAAACCAAGTTTATAGAAAGAGTAAAATACATGAAAATTAGAAAAGGCATTCACATTTGTGAATACATCTCTATCAGAGCAATTCATTAACACAACAATATTTCACTGTTGTGTTTTTTGTTCTTTCAATGTGCATTGAAATACAATCCTGGTAAAGTCTTGATTATATTTTGTGATGTTTTATGTTTTAACAGATAAAATTATCTGACAAATTATTAAATTTGAGGTTAAAATATATCTTTTATTCTTCATTGAAATGAGACGAACGAAGACTCACAAAACCACTTACAACTAGTCACATATGTATACGCCTGTTTAAATGAAAAAGAACATTCTAAGGGTACAATAAAAAACCGTAGTCAGATATAAAAATCCTCGACATGACAAAAATTTAAAAAAAAGACCGACGGCCTATTTTGGACAAAACAATAAACGAAAACAAATATGACAGACAGCAACCAACGAAAGCCCTGAATTACAGCTCCTGACCTTAGACAGGCACATATAGAATTTTGAGGGGTTAAACATGTTTGGTGACGCTCAACGCTCATCCTTACATGAAACAAACTGGAAAAATCAGTTTAGAACGGCTTCACTAATCGGATCAGCACAAATTTCAACTA